ACACACACACACACACACACACACACACACACACACACACACACACACACACACACACACACACACATCCATAAACCCATGTGCATCACTACTCCCTCCTTCCAAAAAAGACCACCTTACACACACAAACACCCCTCCTTATACAAAGCTAGCCCACCCCTTCAGCTGTCTGTCTCAGCAGAAGGCCTTTTGAACTGGTTTTGAAGCGTAGCATTCGGCTTYCGCTTTGCTCTGCTCACTGCCTAATTGGTCCCAGTGGCGTTTCAGTGGGCGAACACTGTCCCCTGTTGCGCTCTGCTCCAGAGCACTGCACAGGATGGTATTCAGGAGCAGTTTCATTCCCTCTGCTGCTGCTCATGTCGGCTGAATGTGTGTGGGTATGTGTTCTTCATACAGAGAGGCAGACTGTCAATAAAAGGACAGGTGTGTCTGTGTGCCTCGTGTGAAAACAGCCTCAGACACGCATGCTAAAGAGGCTGTCAATGTTTGTTTTAGGACACCAGTTTAGCTTCAGTTCAGACTATTTCTGCTTCCCACTCATTTTGAATTTGATGCCTGCAACATGTTCCAAAAAAGAACCGGGGCAACAAAAGACTGGGAGTGTTGAGGAATGTTCAAAAAAAACCCTGTTTGGAGCATTCCACAGGTGAACAGGTTAACTGGAAACAGGTGAGTMTCATGACTGAGTATAAAGGGAGCATCTCCGTAAGGCTCAGTCYTTCACAAGTAAGAATGGGCCGAGGTTCACCACTGTGTGAACAACTGCATGAGCAAATAGTCCAACAGCTTAAGAACTACGTTTCTCAATGTACAATTGCAAGGAATTTAGAGAGTTCATCGTCTACAATCCATAATATCATCAAAAGATTCAGAGAATGTGGACAAATCTCTGCAAGTAATCAGCAAGGCTGAAAACCAACATCCTTCTGTAACAGATGTTAGCACATGGGCTCAGGGACACTTCAGATAACCATTGCCAGTGAACACAGTTTCTCTACATCTACAAGTGCAAGTTACATCTCTGACAAACCCACATTTCAAACTGGAAATCATGGACATCATGTCCTCTGACCCAAAGAGGAAAAGGACTMTCTGGATTGTTATCAGTGCAAAGTTCAAAAGCCAGCATCTCTGATGMTATGGTAGGCCTYGCTAAAATTTATGTTATGATWTAACTCCTATTTTCAGTCAATGCTATAMAATTTTGATATGATAAAAATGTCAGAAAAACTGCCAAACCTACAAATCTGATGTCATTTAAGACATTTTTAAATAAAATTATGACTAGTTAGAACAAATAGTGAGATTTCTCAAATCTACTTTATGTCAAGTCATAATTTAATTTTTGATATCTGAAATATTTATTTCAGACAGTCAGTAATTTATTGCAGATATCTTGAGTTAGAGCCTTCATACAACCTAATGATAAATCTGATATCATTTATACATGTCTGAATGTAATCAGAATGATCTCAAATAGGTATTTTGCTTAGTCAAAATATAATTAGATATCTTAATTAACTATTTCTAGTCATTAACCAATTTCATATATCTGGAATGTAAACGTGTTAAAGCCGATTAAGCGTCAAAAGGGCTTGCCATACCCATCTGTGCTTTGCTCGACACAGCTGCTGCAGATCCATACAGGGCTGTGTTTTGTTTATGCCGATGCTGAATTAAAGCACGCATGTGAATTTATTAATAAACCTGCAGGCACAACAGTAATGAACAAKGTTTGCGAGGAACGCAAAAGAAAAGAAAAGCTCCTGATATTCCCTCTGTGGCTCAGTAGGATCCCACTTCATTGTGTTAAAATGTTCCCTTTCGGTAAAAATTAAAACTTAAAAGATTGTTGCTTCCCTTTATTTTCTCTTGTCTGATAAGGAAAAAGAAAATGGTRGATTTGAAAAGAAAAACAGAACTTGATGTTCGCTTTGTTACGAATTGTTTTGGCTCTTCTTCCYTTCCATTTGGTCCAACCTAAACTAGCAAACAAGGAGCAATTTCAATCAAGGAAACATTAAAGCCATATAAAATAACTATAGTTGAATTGTGTTTCTTGAAAGAGAAAATGATTTATTGTTCTGACTCACTTCAAATTAGCAATAAGTCATTTCTCCTACTAATGATCCTTAAAGATTTATTTTTAAATGCCTGGCATTACGGGGGTAAAAAACAAGTTATTCCTTAACTGGTGAATTTGATCAATCCTTAGTAATTAAAATGTGATGTAATAAAAAAAAATAATATTGAGTCTTGGGTATACGTCAAAGCAAAGGAACTGATTTTGTATATAAAGACAAATTATTTTCAGGCTAAATATTAACACTTTTAACAGACTTTAATAAACTGAGTGTAATTCAGAAAAGGAAACGTATAAAATTAAGAATAAATCAATGTCTGTTAATCAGGTCACACCATTCTAAAGAGCCTCCACCTGCTCCTACCTGAGAATTTCATTGGGGTTGCCTGAGATGGGGGTGTTTTTCTCTTTCGCTCCGTGGCACTCAGACTTGAACAAGGTGTGAGGCCTGCGGTCCTTCATCATGGTGGAGGTCGCCATGGTGATGATCGCCACGCCATCACGAACACGAGCTTCTATGCCGTAGTCCCACTCGTCATAGGACACAGACATCAGACCTGGAAAAAAAAAAAAAAAAACAAGAGAAAAGGTTGAGGGGAGCGAGGGAGAGAAGGCTCGGAGAGTCTATGTAAATATGGTGTTAAAAATAAGTTCTTGAACTAGTTTTTGTCATGAAAGAGAGAAACGAGGCAAGGCAGGAAGATGGAGAGAAGAAAAGTGGGGAGAGATTATGACAGGAGAGGCACACAGAGAAGACGAGACAGTGATGATTCAGAGAGCAGATGAACAGCACTCACATTCCGCTCCACTTGGTGTCTATCACCTTGTTGTGTTTGTCCATCTGTCTGTCTAAATTACTCTCCGTCTCTGCTGGCCTTTATACCGTCTGCAGCCTGTCTTCATGTCTGACTGAGTCCTCTTCTCCTTTTACAAACCTTCAACTATATCTGAACATTTATTTTTTTATTTACTGTAATAATCGCTGCTTCCTTTCAACCAGGGACAGCCGGTATAAGTGGTCTAAGCCCTCCCTGGTGTTCGCAATAAAAATGTTAAAATACATAATAAACACAAATTCAGATATTGCATTACATTTTGTGAGAAATACAACAAAACTGGTGCCAAACAATTGTCTTTCCAAACTGATAATTGTGTACAGCCATTTATTTAATATCTTTCTTGGTACAGAATGATTGACAGACATCTTGTCCCGCCTCCTTAGTTTGTTCCTCATTGGGAGTGACTTTGTTCAGACCAGTGTCAGCCCAAGGCCACAGGTTTTAGCCAATGTACAATAATGTGCATCAAGCTCAAGTGTATGTGGGCGTGGTCTGGTGTAGACTGAATAAGTATGATGGTGAGGAAGATTAACATAAACAAGATGGATTATTTCATTTCTCACCCATTTTCCTTCATGACTTTGGAGGAAACATTGGAAGTGGGGTGGTTGGGGAGGATAGACCAAAGGATACTTAAATCTGCAAAACCAATATTTTTCTGTGACCTTTACATTACAGCTGAAACCCTTAACGCAGGATAATTTAGTATTGGATAACTGACAGAGTTAGCTTGGTGTTTGGTGGTGGTTTGTTTTACATTTGACTTTGAGCTGAAAAATGTTTTATTTATTTATTTATATTTATTTATTTCAAACTGGATGCTTCTGTTGTTGGAATCCAACCTGCAGTGTTTTATTATATATCTTATACATATACATTTTTTCTTATTAATAATTAT